GATGGGAGTGTCAGAGACAGTGTGATTGGCACAGGACAGAGCGGAGTTTAGGGCTGTTGTACAAAGGGTCGCTATGAGTCGCAGGCGACTCGATGGCACATAACAACAACAACAACTAGCTAATAAACTAGGGTAGGCAATCTCCTCCTATATGGTTAATTAGCTCTGAAAAACAGCAACTATGAGTCAGTTCTGCCTCTTCAGTATACAACAACTAGCTCCTAAGAGACAAAGAAGCACATGCAAAATCAGCAACAGCATTTCCAAATGAAATGCATCCACTTAATTTAAAACTGCAGGTGCCATCAACTTGACTGCTCTTAAGAGTACTAAAAGGGTATCGAGGAAACTGAGGATGAAGAGTTTCTCCACTCACAAGGCCTCAGAAAACCAGCATAGCTCCCAAGAGTCACACATCCGTGGAAGTGTGTGACCGGGTGTGCACAGCTGTTTGGGTAGGTGTTGATCAAGTGCACAAATGTGTGAGGGTGCACCCACAGCAGATATGCATGATGGGACACACACAAGCCACATGACATACTCTACCTTGACCAGCTCTTGAAGCTGAGCTGGCTTTGTATGAGTGGAAAGGAAGTCCTGTTGGAAAGTTTTAAAACAATCTATCCCCACTGCCTCACATACGTCAGCAGTCAGCACTGGTTTACTGGTTTTGCCACTGCATGATACCACAATTCCAAAGCTTGCCTTATATACAGCTATCCATGCCCTCATGGCACATCCAGGGTTGCCCAAAAGTGACACTTTGTAATGCTTGATGCCAAGAGAAGAGTCACACCTTCCCTAAACTGCGTCTCTCAACTACCAAAATCTAGTATCTTACAATATAGATTCAGGTTCAAAGCTTCAGGCTTCCAGGGACATGCTGGAAGGTCATTGGCACTGTAGCTTACACTGCCTATAGGAATGCACCAAAGCCCCTACCTTTTAATATCTCCTTTAAGGCCACTTGATGCCCTTGAAAACTGTGAAATGACTTAACATGTGCCATTTACCAAGAAAGCCTGCTTCCCCCCCCCACTAGTTTATTTACAAAACTCAAATACAAATTTGAACAAATGCTTTCAATTTCCCTCCCCCTCCCACCCATCAGATTGTACAACCCAATGATTAATCCTCCCTCCCCCTGCACATCCACATCCCTCTGCTTCCAGCCTCTCTCACACCTCCTGGATCTTCATACTCATTCTACAATAATGGTTTTATACAATATTTATCCTTGTGGGACTGAATTAGTTCACTCAGTATAATGCTCCCCAGTCCCTCCCAAGTTAAGTAATAATTTACAAAGTAATTGCTCCTGTATGCTGCATAGTATGCCATTGTGTGAATATACCATAATTTCTCAATCCATTCATTTGTGGTTGGACATTTGGGATGTTTCCATGTTCTTGCAATAGTGAATAATGCTGCTGAGAGTCTGATTTTTTATTTGCTTACTTTTTCCCAACAATCATGTGAAGTAGCCAAAAGCAGATGTATTATTAAAACATTAGGAATCTCTTAGCCAAACATTTCAACATTTGCATTTGGAGAAGCAGAAATATTTTTACTGTAAAGTGGTGTAATTTGGGTGCAGTAATGCAAATTAAATCAAGTTTCCCATGCGATCAACTTGTTTCTCTAAGCATGTTATGGAAGTGCATGACTTAAACAATCCTTCAGAAAGGAAGGAACAAACTAGGTTTTACAGAGAATTTATTTTGTGACAAGCCTTATCCTGGATGTTTCCATATTATTTATGCTACTGAATGATTACAACAACCCTGCAGAGTTGATATTATTGCAACAGACCAGAAAGCACTCAGAAACTAACTTTTTAAACAACTTTTAGTAGGTTGAAAGCAACATTTCTTTAAAATGGTATTTTTTTTCTATTATAAAATCTCCATTTTATTGCTCCTCACTCCCCTCAAAAAAGTAACAAAAGCAATATGCCAAGTTCTTTATTGTTTTCATTTCTTGCATTTGAAATACTCTTCAATGACATCCTTGGCCTGTGATTCTTTGCCATAGTCCTTAACAACTACACAACTGCAGCCGACTACTTTGCGGGGCTTTCCTTCTTGGTCAATTTTGCAGAGGCCTACCATCGTGAGTGACAGGATTATACCCATACGCTTACAAGGAAGCCCAGTGAATACCACTATCATTCAGGTATATGCACCAACAACCAGAGCCAAAGAAGAAGAAATAGATGATTTCTACCAACATGCAATCAAGATGCATTGATAATAATGGGTGACTGGAATGCAAAAGTTGGGAACAGAGAAGAAGAATCAGTAGTCGG